CATACATACATTCATCCATATACACATAAGCATACATACCCATAGAGTAGTAGAGTCAATTGAGAATATATTTTACGTAATCATATTGTCAGTATTAAACGAGTACATAACGTTATTTTATTACCAATGAGACACCCAAGTACACGTACAATTATTGGTGGCTTTACCAGGCAGACAGACGGACGGAACCAGTCAAGCACACATTTGTGGTATACAACGGATTTTTGGCTTGCGATATCATTGTTAATTGTGAAAAGGATATTTATGAGGCTTTTCTATATCAGAGAAAGTTGTGACGACAATAATAGTTTCCAGTTTTATTGCTTAACTAATTTGTCATTTTCGTTGTATTTATTGTGTAAAAAAATATTATTATTATTATAAAGTACATAAGTTCAAGTCCTTAATGTGTAATGTACTTTACATAAACTATTGCCGACATGGATTTTGCACTTTGGCAATGAGAAATTTTAGAATTCAATTTATTGGACTTGACAGCATTCAGTGAATTCAATTTTTACCTTTCGATTTATAAAAGTGTTTTTAAAATAATTTTAACAGTAAACGGAACTTCTAAGTCAAACAATAAGAATATAGATAATATAATAAATTATGTCAATCAAATAAAAAAAGCAACAAAAAAAATATATAATATTTAGTTCCCAATTTGGTTCCAAACAATGTCTTCTCTTCTGTCTTCGATCGAACATTAACCTAAGATTTACTTTAGACATTCATATAGTGTCTATACACTTAGCCAGAACTGTATCAAAAACTACTTTCACAGGCCCTCAACTCTTTCGTGGATTAAACTGAGCCAGTACAAAACAAATAATTAAGCAGAGAGACAATCATATACGTCTGGTATACTGGAAAGACTTCCCAGTACTTCGACAAAGCAAAACACTGATCAAACCGTACTACTGCAAGAACTTTCTTAATTTCTCAAAAGGTTACTTAAGTTTGATAACAGGTTTCATTACCGGTCATTATGGTTTGAAATATCACCTTCATAAACTACAATTATCTGCTAATGCGGAATGCAAATTATGCCTCCAAGATGAGGAAACTACTATGCATATTCTTTATGACTGTCCAGCTTTAACAACGCACATAAGAAACTTATTTTATATGGAATTTCCGTCACCAGAACAGATAAAGAGTTCTTCTCTAGATTTGGTTCTGGACTTTGTTCACAAAGCTTTAAAGTGTTTTGTGTAATTAAGAGTGAAATTGGTACAATAGAACTTCTCTTCTGGCCGTAGTACCGGATGTTGGATGTTATTTGAATATATTCCTTAAAGGAATCAACTTAATCCACATCCAGAGATAATCTGTTCTTCAAAAAGCTTTAACTTGTTAATGATTGATTTTTGTTTAAAAATTTACCGATATCACGTCAAAAATTTAATAATAAATAATAATAAGTTCATAGTTGAAATGTAACTAAAATTTAATTTGAAATATATTTAAAAGTTATATTATTATTATTTTTGTTAAGGGATGTGGCACTGCGACCTTCGGGTCTATTGTGCCCCCTTCTGGATTTAGAGTTGGTCTCTAAGCCTTTTCCGTAAGGGTATACATTCCCAGGAGTCTATTCCGTTTGTGCATTAGTGCAGAGCATTCTAACAGCACATATGAGACTGAATCTACAGTTTGCATCCGTATACATATATACCTAGAAAAAAGAAGTGTAAATACAAAAACTACTTCCAATTTATAATCCTTAATGTGAGGTAATTATTTTATTTTAAATCTGAGCAATTAATAAAAAATTCTTTAACAAATGTAAATCTCTGCTTATTGAATGTCTAAAGAGGTTCTTAAATTATATTGACATTAACTGACGACAATCTATTAAATTATAGCCTACACTGTCGGAACACAAGTTCAGACTTAAAATTTCAAATTCACCTTAAAACAATAAAAATAAAATTCATTGTTTAAATGTCAAATAAAACTGTTAAAATAAAACAAATAAAAAGCATAGCATTTTTTATTATAACTGTTGTTGCATATTTTATAAGAATTTTTTAACTGAACAGACGTAACTTTTTGAAACCAAAGTACCACAAAGAAAAAAATAAACAGAACTCAAATTTGGTTAAAATATCTCAGGTGAGACACGCGCGCCAGGGCACACACAACTACGATATTCTACACTCCATTCCAATCCAATCCAATCTGCTCGGAAAACATTGTCAACGTTACTGTTAATAGAGCTGAATATCACGCCAAACCTCGAGTTGGAGTTGCTGCTATTCGGAGTACTGCCTTTGTTGTAGTTGTTGGTCACTGTGATGGCGGTGTCAATGAAGAATACTGGATTTTAATATTATATGTGGAACATTTATTTTTTTTTCTTTCTCTTCATTTTTATTAGTTCAACCACAATTTGACAAGAGTGTGACTACAATTTTTGGCACTTGTGGCAAGGTCTGTGAAAGCCATGCAATCCCACTTGACTCTATGAACGACTGACGGGAGGAGTAACAGTGGCAATAATGCCAATTAAAAAAAAAAGTTAAGGTAACTTTGCTTTTTAACCGGTAATTTAGCCTTGTTAATTGTGATAAATGTTGTGAACCAGAAAATAAAATATTAAGAAAAAATGTATTCATAAACGCAAAAAAAAATTATTCAAAGAAAAAATAGACAAAATCTCATAACTTTGGCTTAAAGTCATCCCAGGGGTGCGTAACTCAACTTTTTTTCGTCGATTTTTTTAATTCTTCTCTTTTCATTTTGTATAATTTATGCACTTAAATACTTCATTTAAAGATACTTTACAAATCGTAACATGTAAAAAATTTGTCCTAAAGATAAATCTTTTAAGTTGTTAAAAAAAAAACTTTAGACATGTGTTTCGCGAAATTGTATCCTGAGTTTAAAATAAATAAATAAAACCCAAAACTAAATAAATTGTAAACTATAAACTTTTAAGTTTTATACGAAGAGCATCAAGTGTGAAATTACTTCGGAGTTGTGCTGCGGTTAATAATTAAAGCTATTAAGCCGTCTACAAAACTGAATCATTCTTTTTCTAAAATAGATACAATTCACAAAAAGATACAATTGTGTAAGATATAAAATTCACATGCATATGTAGGATATTTATTTAACAAGCCTATAAGATAAAAATTGTCGTAAAAAGGTTATATATTTAAGAAAAAAATGTGATTGTTGTATTTATATAGAAATATTTTTCAATTATTTAAATACTGGAAACAGCTGTATGATCAGCCAAAAATTCAATTAATTTATAATATAAAATTTTATTGATGTAACTTAATACTATTCGAAAAACCTCTCTATTAAAAATAATAGACTTCTCATACTATCCACCTCTGACTAAAAGCAGAACGTCCCTTGTTCAGTAGTAGTATTACAATATACCCGTAGGGTTAAGAAAGTTTTAAGTTTTATTCTAATTTTTAAAATATTTTTTGAACAGAATAAAATTAGAATTAGAATAAAATGCAATATATATATAAAACATATAATATATATATAATATAATACAATATTTGAGAATATTGAGTCATATATGTATAATATAATATATTCTTTAGCACTCTCTCCAATGCTAATGCTAATATACAAAGGTTTTGAGCTTCTTAAAGTCGCTTGTGTCATTCATAATTATATGATATAATCATCATAATAATGATGGTTGTAGTGTAGCATAGTGTATATAAAGAGTTTTTAACAATCTTAATACTTCGCTGCATTTAATTCCAATTTAATAAAAGATGGTATATAAACTCTCTGATCCGGCAACTTACCACACAAAAAATATGTCTTAGTTAATGGCTCGACAAACACATAGCTAACCAATGCAGCTATACTATAGTTAATACATGTAGTTACCGGCAGCACAACCAATACTCTAAAAAAGAATCAACTCTATAAGCATGATTTAGTCAGACAGTTCTAAATTTCTATTACTTTTTGATCACACACCCTAAATACACATTTTTAAACAACATTTCATGTGATACAGACTTATAGTGTCAGACTTATTTAAAATATTTTTTTGTTTTAATTTGCAAAAATTTGTTTATATTGCCAATATTTTTTCTAAAGTAATCTCACTTCTGTAAGTACCAAATTTTTTCTTAATAACAACAAACAAAACTCAGAACTAATGATTTTTATCACTTACAAGTGCATAAATCACAGTAAACATCTGTCAAGTAATAAAGTGAACTACGAGAAGATAAAAACGCATAAAGAACATATTTACAGCACATATTTGTAATGTTTTATTTACTACCAACTACTAATGGCTGCCGGAAGACTAAAGGATACACATACGACCGACCAACCAACGAGAACAAAAGAGCCGCCAAATCTATTATCTGCGATACGCATTCAGTGGCAAAGGAATAGTCAACAAACTCTTGGTTTTATACAAATTTTTCCACTAAAATTTATTAATACTAAAGCAAATTTATAAAGGGTTCTTAAGTTAATAATAGAAAGTACGTAACATGAAATAAAAGTGTATTACTTAGTATAAGTACGATGCTAAGAAGGTAGTATGTTACAGAACTTTTAAATGTCCTTAAAAAATCGCTTTTAAGAGTGTTTATAACATATATCAATATTCTATTTTTCGTTCAATATTTTTCTTTACAGAAAAAACTATTAACACTTTCAAAACATTATTTATATACAAATCCGAATATATATATGTCCCTTAAAGTAAAGTACTCAGGAAATAAATCCATACGCTCGCATATTCTACACAAATGCCTTTGCCAAACTATTAAAATTTATGGTACCAAAGGAGTATTTTAGTTAAATTTATTAGTAAAACTCGTAAAAAAAATATTTTATTTCTATGTAATAAGTTTTTATAGTTTTTTATTTCAAATATATTGTTTTATACTTCGCATGTATATTTTTACTGTACAGTTTATTCCATCTTTATACGCCTCTTTGAAATTAAATTAAAGCAATGAAAATCTCGTATCTGAGTTAACTAAGTTAACGATTAAATAATGATTATTTAATATGGCAAAGCACTGTTAACTACCACCTTTCTAAATTGGAACTAATGATAATGATACCTATAAAATTTATCAAGAAGTATTCATGCATCTATGTATATAAGTTATACGTTGTCAATAGGAGAATCCCTTTAAACCATAGAGAGTCAGTACATTAAAACCAAACGAACTTTAAAGGAGTTTAATTCGAACATCTGGTCCGTTTTTTTAAAAAAAAAAAACTAAAAGGTTCCACAAGAGGTATAACATACCCATATGGTGTCGTAGTACATAAAGAAATTTTAGACCTACTCCATTTTGCAAGCTAATATAAAAAATCAAGCTAATTTGTAAAAGAATTAAAATAAAGAAGATTTGGAAGAATTTAGTTGTGCACAATTTTAAAGTATGGGATTTAGATCCAAGGTAACGTATGTGATACTAAGATCATAGGGAAGAAAAGTCAAAATACAAGCAAGGTTTTTGACTTTTAACCCATAATAACACTAATAGATTGTTTAGTAAGTTCGCAGAATGAAAGGCGGATTTTTATTTAATAAACATACGATCCTCCATGTTTGGATCCCACATCTATATTAGTTTTCAGAAAGATCAAGATAAAATGACCCTCTATGGCACTATTATTTTTAATGAAATTCACTTTACAAGAAAATATTTTTTCAGTTTTGAGAAATTAGAAGACAGATGTGTGTCTACTTGCTGTTACTCATCCTAATACAAAGCGGAATTATAAGCGAAATTATAAGCGGAATTATAAGCGGTATTAATAGATTCGCATATTTCTGTAAAAATATAAGAAATATAAAATAATAAAAAATTTTTGATAATAAGTTTCATATACCAGTAATTTTCTAAACACATATTGAGTGAAAAAGATAATATATAATAACTATGTGAATTTAGAGCTGATCATATACACTAAATTGAAATCTATTGTTAAAACAGCAATAATACTAATATTATACAATGCTACAGTCAACTGTAAGGAAATCAAACTCTCTCATTTACTTACAGCTTATTATATTTTAGGTAACCACGCTAGGACTCTAAATCTCCCTTTCAGCCATGCCTGTCGCAGTTGCGGTGAGGACGATGAAAATGCCTGCGATCTGGTCTGTTTCTTTCCGCAATATGCGCGGCACTGGCGTAACACTTTAGGGGTTTCTTTTTTGCGAATTTTAGCGAACTGCAAGACCTCCCTCTGAATAGCATTAAAAGCTTTGCCAAAGACGGTTCTAAGCGGTAGTAACCCTTGAGTTTTTAATTATATGATAACACAATAGGCCTGTAGGCGTTAGTGGAACCCTTGGCATCGCCGGCATAGCCTACTCTAACCTTACCTATGGTAAACTGTAAGAACTAGCTAACAGAAGACAGTTGTTCAATCTTCTTATAGATAAGTATGTTCAATATGAGATAGTTCAGATTTTTTGACGATGAGCAAAGCTTAATTATTATTATTATTCAAAGCTTCAAACTAAGTTCTATTGACATAAAATCATAAGTACTATTTTAATTGTATTGAAACTCATAAAGAATGAGTTTCTTTATTATGGAATTTTGCACTATTTCCTATTTTCTTCCGACTTAAAATTATTTGTAAAAGCAAAAGGGAATCCATCCATTAACATGCCAACACATTTGCCAACTATTTTTAATAAACCAACAATTAAAAAACACATAAACAATAAAAATGCATGTCGAAACTATACTAAAACAATAATTAAAAACAACAAAGTACAAATTCAGAATGCAACTTCTTGCTATAAAACCAAAAATTTACATTCAAATATGAAACAAAATTCAGAACAAAAATAAAGCAAGAAATTTTAATGATTTCGAAAAGCTTCAAGTGAGTGAAGAAACTCGAAAATCAGAACAAAAATAATATAAATAATTTATGAAATATGCTGCCACAGACAAAAGCCAGAAAAGTCAGAAAAGCCCCAAAGAAACCAAAACAATGCGAGAGTAGAGGAAGTAAGAGTTTACGACTGGAAACAGGCATATCTGTTGGATGGCTTACCATAGCCAGGCTATCAAGCCTTACCATCAAGCTTTACCGACCCAAGCTAAACGAAACCTAAGCGGAGGTAAGAACAATGATTGTCTTAAGGAAATGCAATTATATGAAGTTTTTTTTTTTCAGTTCACGTATTTTTCAGCTCAACTTTCCGTTGTTCTTCTACCTTCAATTGTCGGCATTAAACTATAAAATTTAATAATGTGACTTTTTCTAACTGAACGTAGAAGTAAGCAAATTGAAATGGAATTTATGCAATGTATTTTTAGAAATTTTTAAGGAATTATGACATACAGATCAAGCTAAATACATAAATGAATAAACGAATAAATGAACGTAAAAAATACTAAAAATATATTAAAGACATAAACAAATAGACAGACGGACATACGGAAAGACAGTATAATGTATATAAATACGTATATATAAAACAAACTAAAAGATGGTTAAAGCTGACATACGAAACATATGATTATCGTCAAGTTTGCCCTGTGGTATGAGTAATTTCAAATAGAATTGCATACGAGTTGGTAAAATAAAAATTATATTAATATGCAGCCTAGGATATATATTTTTTCAATTTTACTATTCTTACTCATGCAATGAAATTTTTGCAATAGCATTTTAAGAAAGTCTACAAAAGACAGATTTAAAATATAAATATTGTATATAAAAAAATTTTTTTTTTGGTTTTTAGTAGAGCTTCAACTTGACTGGAATGGGAGTGGACATATGGCAGCGTTGTGGTTCACGGTTGTGCACTTAGTAGGGCACGTCTCGCGCGAATGCTATGCAAAAACCATTAATATGACCATTAAGGTAAGTCTTCATATTAAAGTATATGAGAAACATATTGCATAGCCAAGGACCTTTGGCATTTTTCTATTTACATAAAAGTATTTTTTTTTTTCAGAGGTATAATTTATTTTAATGTTGGTATTTATCATATTCTCATATGTAATTTTTTTTTCTCTTACAGTCATCATTTTCAATTAAATTATTGTTTATTTTTTTTTTATTATTTTACTTCTCTAAAAAATTTTATTAATTTTTTTTTTTCATGTAAATTGCATTAGTTTTTATCATTTT